GAATGAATAGTATGGCAGCTATGCTGTTCCAAAAATAGTATGTCAGGGACTATATTTTTCCAAGAATGATGCTACTTAATGAATTTGATTAATAAAATATCGTTTGAATAAGAAATTGTGCCCTGGTCACTTAATATTTGTATTATGTAGTAACAGGTTTATAACGTTATACATAACTATACATAACTGTATTCAAAATCGAGTATAGCCTCTTGCAATTTATATTTACTGCATATTAACTGGGAAATTCTCACCTTGTATGTAAAGGAGTTTTTGGGCAATGAATTAGAAAGCTGCTGGTTACCAACAAGGTTCTTTGGAAAGTCACAGAAGCCTTTGGTTGGACTTGTGGGGTCGTCGGTTATGGGGCATATGCGGAGGTCATCTTCATCATCGTCATCACTTGCATTGGAATCTTTAAAAGTCACTCTATTCTTACTACACCCATTCCTAGGTCCATCCAGAGGGCTGCACACCTCCTCCATACTAAACATGAGCTCCTCCTCAGCCATGATGTCCCACTGTGTTGTGCACCAAAACTACAAACAAGCACGTAAGAATAAGTGTCAAATATTACATTATTAGATGCATTGTCAACAAACATGCAAACACCTTTTAGAAGTAGCGATGAAACAAATGATCAAGAACAGTTTGATAAAATGTGAAGGTATTCGTTAATGTAAGTGATAAACCTGTCCCTGCTCATGCGTTCCATTGTCCCGTCAACTAGACTATTCGTTATGCCACATTCCTTAAAAACTTCTGTTTGTAATGACAAAAGCGTTTTAAAACCTTCAAAAACGATGTCATTTAAAGCTATATAATAATTTATTTTGATGCATTATAACTAACAGCCACTAAACATAATAACAGCTCAAAGGTGCACACTACAGAGCACAAGAATAAGCAATAGTGCGTGTCACATTACTTACGTTAGAGTGAATAAAGTCGCTAGATTGAAGACATAAGGAAAACAGGACATATATATATATATGCTCTATTATCGCGAATCCTCTTCACACCCTTTCGGACAAGGAAGCCAACTCAACAATGAATCGCGCGTTTGCACGGAAGTTTCAGCTGCGGTTGTGTCTCAAGCACACTGGACAGTGACAGGTTTACTGTGCCTCTGCAGAAATGTGTACTACGTGTCTTGACCAGCGAACAAATGTTCCCTTGTGTTGTTGATTCCTCCAACCTCAGGACAACGACAAAGCTGCACTTAGCCCTCTAGTGGACTTTAACGAAAAGACAGCTCATTCTGAGAAATGTTAGGTACCTAAATGTATAAAAAATAAACAAATACATTTAAAAGACACAAGCCAGTTTGAAAAATAGAACAAAAATATCGTCAAAATGTTATTCAGAGAGAGCCATATGACAGTCGATCACATATGGCCTTTTATGGGGGAGCTCAGGTTGTTAATCGATAGCAGGGTTATATTACGAATTCTACTAAGACAAAGGCATGTCTCATGAATAATATTAATTTATTCATGCTAACCTTTCCTGGACACGGAAGAAAATTAATATTCATAAGCCAAGCCTTCAAGCGGCAACATTCCAAATTCAAATCAAGTAGGCGTAACTCTAATGACGTCGCGTTACGTAATTAATATTAATGAGAGCCCTCCTCGCCATAGTAGAGTCGTACTACTCGCGGGGGCAGGGCGAGCCTCCACACTGGTGAGGACTGGCTGCACGTAGCCACTGTGAAAAAGAACAGATCTGCTCATCCAACTCAAGTAGTGTGCAAACCGAGCGGCTATTTTCGTGTTCTTGGTTTTCATTGTATTGCATCGTCAATGTGACACTAACCGTTGTTCCAATACTTTTTTAGGGATTTAATTTCATGAAACGTATGACACCTGCAGTTTCACAAGTAAAAGCAATCAACGATTGGCCTTGCATTTGTTCAAAGCGAGTAAACATGCTCCCCGACTAACATCTGTATCGAAAGATTTTGAGGTACTTAATCGCATAATAAACGGAGCGCGAAAGTAATTCCAATAACAATTTCCATAACAAGCATTTCTGTTATTTCTTATTAACAGTATTATATATTATGCGCATATCATTACTATGCTAATATATCTAAGCTGTTAGCGCTTTAGTCTCGTGGTAGCGTGGCCGAGTGGTCTAAGGCGCTGGATTTAGGCTCCAGTCATTTCGATGGCGTGGGTTCGAATCCCACCGCTGCCAAATTGTTCTTTTCTGTTTTTTCGCCTATTAAACAGGATATAAACATATAATTTATCAGATAACTATAACTATATTAAAACCGTATATATGAAGAAGTGAATATTAGTGAATTTAACTAAATTCTATGGACTCTAAAATGACATGGACATCATGCAATCATTTTTCCTAACTTAATACTTAACATAGTCTCTGTTTACTTGATCCTATCAATATTATATAGGTATTTGTAATGACAAATGTAGGCTGTGAGATGACTGGCAGAAATTAAAATATTCATCTCTAATATTAAAAAAAACTGTATTTGGGAGATCCTTTCAATGGAATGTAGTTTATAATTATTACAGGTAGTATTATTAATTACAATTTGCCTATGGTATTAATTTCCATCGCAGTACTTCCGGCATCACAGACAATATCCATATAAAATTTTAAAACGGTGTAAAATACAATAAATAAAATAAAAAAACGTGTAGATTTACTAAACACATCTTTTAGAAATACGTGGTCAATTGCGCCATCTAGCGGTCTAAACTCCTCATTTTTACCATCGCGGTATATCAAGCCGCTTCCAGGGGCACGTTCATGCTTAAACCGGTGCGGTGCGCAACGTTTTGCTACGGTTTCCGGGGTGATACGATAAGTTTCCTGGAAACGGTGTGCAACCATAGACAGTAAAAGAACAAGTAACGGGGTTTGCGATACGTTTTCTTTTGTTTGGTAGGTGTGTCAAAAGTGTCAGCAGCAAAATAAACCACGAGGTATGAAAGAGAGCTAGCTCGCACAATGGGTCCAAGTAAAGTCATTTACAAAATGTGTCCACTGCAGCTCGGTATATAACGTTACATAGCCTTTATTATGTATATCTATGGGTATATGCGCAGCAATTAAAGATATTAGAATGTTAGTCATAAGAGTTTTATAGTAAAAATATATCATATCAACCCAGACAGCAACATAGTATCGGCCCAGATCCGGCCCACATCTGGTAGCTACACCTGGATCCTCCAAGGTCATAAATCTCGGAGGTAAGAAGTGGATTATCCTTCACTTGAAATGTTTGTCTTTTCATCCTGAAATGCGGGCAAATGTTGGATCACAATAATTAGGAACCACAGTTTCCACAAATCCCTTCTCTCGATTGGGATGTTCTTTTTTATTTTGGGCGGCAAGGGCACTGACTGTAACATCGAGCGTATTTTGCAGTATTAAACACGTATTTATATCGATTTCATCAGGCTCCGAAAAATTCTTCAAAAAGAACACAAAAAAAGGCCTTCTCAGCTGCCATAGCTCTTGCGTCATTTTACTGTCTTTGTGTTCAACGCACCATTGTTTCCGTTTAAAATAACGTTTTGCAACTTTTTGTCGGGTTTGTTTTTATACACATGCAACTTCATGGGAGCTATAAGATGCATAGTTATTTATAATGTTAGCTGTTCTTCATTATGGAGGACCAGGAGTGCCACTTAAAAATAAAATGAAGATTCAATATATCAATTTAATAATTCAAACATAAACATGTATATAAATAAATCACTTTTAAATGGACAAATTAATAGACATTTTTTAAGTTGTTTATTTAATTCGTGTTTTATACTCCATAAGCTCCTAGTCCTATTCCACAATGGGTATACGCTGCAACTGCATGATCATGTTTTATATAAATTACACTTTTTTAGAATTTTAGAAATGGTCTTACCTGTCCAACAAAGCTGCAACTTGGGAGATCACTACTCGGGATTTTCTCCATCATCAAATCTGTCCCTCTTGTGTAGTCGTACCGATTTAAGCTCGTTTTAATCTTAGATGGTCTTTCTGTCTTCTGGCTTCAGATCAGCTTATTCGGCAAGTATGAAACGGTGTCAATCGCCAGTTGGCTGATAAAATTTTTATGAATTCTCTAACAATTTAATCCTATGAGAACATGAATATTTAAACAAACGTGAACGACGCTCTGCATGGTCAGCTGACGGGCCTGTGCTGCATCGTCACATGCATGTTAATTGAAATATTCAAGCGCAAGAAGACGTGTCGTGCACTATTTTATTTGAATCTTTGTTATACTGTATCTTTGTTCTATCTTTGTTGTTAGGCTAGTAGTTTTAGCTGTGGTATTGAAATTGAAAGAGAATTTACGCTGGTATCTAAATTATGGCTGGTAAATTTTCACCAATGGTCATCGGCCATTGGCAGGTGTGGCAAAAAATTATTTTCAGGCTCTATGTGTGTTCCATTGTCTTTCACTTTTCGCATCACTCAACAACACTATGTTAGGATTATGATATCCACAGAGGCGGCAACCAATAAGCGTGACGATTCTCTCCATCGTTTAGAGACACAGCGGGTCACGTAATTTCAACATGGCCAAATACATTGAAGGCGTGGAGCGCCTGCACTATATATCATTAAAACACTTTTTATAGAAAACTGTTGTGTGTAGTCTTGATATCATGTGAGTGTACACCATTTTTATTTCTAAATTTGTAGAACTGAATGTACCTTTAAAGTAATATGCATTATGCAATTTTATAAATCATTTTAAACTCAAATCAGTGTTTCATGTCCATTTATTTATTTGGTGAGTAGCCATGTCATAAGCAGGATAATGTACAGTCAGCTGGTCATTATAGCAAAATAAACCCCCACAGGGTGATAAAAGGATCATTTATTTAGTGTTAACGACTGTACATTATCGTAAATCTGACCAACATTTTTACCACAGTATAATTCAAATAAAATCTCCACTGCGAAAAGGCCCTTTTGTGTCAATGAGTGATCCGTTTGAAGTTGACCTATTTGTATGTCATAAGTTGAACCACACCGGCATTGAAAAAGTCAAGTAGTTCAAATATTTAGCATTAAAAAAAAAAATCTTAAAACCAGAGGGATTGTCAGCCAGGCAGACAGACTTTACCAGCAAAAAGAAGTCCAACTATTGTGAAAAATATTGATAAAACAAAAAGTACATATGAGGACCCAACAACAGTATTATTGGGTAATTTGTAAGGTTGTCCTCCGACTTGATTGATGTAAAATCCAACTGGAAATATGAGGGCAGCCATGCAGAAGAGGATCACTATGAAAAACAAAAGCAAAAAAAGAACATAAGGTTATTAAAACCAATCAACAGTCTTGGATTATTTGTGCACATCAATTTTCCCTTTAGGCAACTTACTTGCCATGAAAGCAATCCAGCGGGCATACTTTGTTGCCTCTCGCCGCCAGTGTGAGATCACAAGCAGGCCACATGTGATAGAGAGCGAGACGATGCCCAAGATAATGAAGAACAGGGTAATGACCCATTCTGGAGGAAGGCTTGGGGAGATACATATCCTGTTTCGACCATGGATGGTCTGGCATTGCTTGACTAGACCCACAGTAAGAGCTCCTACATGCAAAACACATGAAAATGTCATGACTTTAAAGAGTAAAAGAAGTCTTTGTTTAACACCACATAACACAAGAAGCTAAAACAGCATACAGGAATGACATAAGGGTGAGTAAATAATGTCATGTTCCTTTAAGAACTTTACAAAAGGGCATAATGATGATATCAATATATGATATGCGGATGTCCTGTAACATGGACAAAGACAAGAACTAAGAGTTTTATAAGTCTTATACGTAATATTCAGAATTCCACACTAAATGTCATTTAAATTGAGCTGAGGAAAGACAGTGAATTAGTATTCAATCCATTTCTACAAATACACTAACAACTGATTAAAATAAATCTTAAATCATACTGTTTTTGAAAGCTTTGTGACATCAGAAAATCTTTTGAAAATCTAGCCTGTAACTGCAGTTGCTGATATTTATATGACCAAAAGTAAGATGAAATTCTGATAGCTTGTAATGTAAATCAATGAAATCTTTATAACAGTATAGCAGACTACTTACCTAAAATACATAAATATAAGATGCCACTATATATCTCCCAATAATGTCTTAGTAAGATGATATATTAAATGCTTAGTTTTATGATCAAACCTCTGTAGTTTTAAATGCAGGGCTCAAAAACATATAATGCAGTGCAATTCTGATTGAGAGATCTACAAATGAACATTCCTCAAAATCCTAATGTCTCATATTTGATACATTTATAAATTATATATTTTTTAGTTTTGATAACTTCGATAACTGTGTGTATCAAATATGATACAGTAGGCTTTATAGGGTTAAGCTGTATGAGCAAGATAAAATACCAATGTAAAAATCTAATTTGAAGGTCTGCTGGACACCAACTCCAACAAACACCAACAAAACGTGAGTAATTGGTTGAAAAACTGCCAAATCCAGCTTTAGCGAGGGGAAGTTGTATTTAAAGTCATTGCACAGGATATCCTGTTTCCCTACACATCTTTAGAGTGACGCCATAAGAAGAACAGTTGTTTACCCCCTTGTGTCAAAATCTGCCATCAGCTTTGTTAATGTAGCCTAGTGCACAAGTCTTTGAAATATATTTATATTATATTTATATACACTCACCTAAAGGATTATTAGGAACACCATACTAATACTGTGTTTGACCCCCTTTCGCCTTCAAAACTGCCTTAATTCTACGTGGCATTGATTCAACAAGGTGCTGAAAGCATTCTTTAGAAATGTTGGCCCATATTGATAGGATAGCATCTTGCAGTTGATGGAGATTTGTGGGATGCACATCCAGGGCACGAAGCTCCCGTTCCACCACATCCCAAAGATGCTCTATTAGGTTGAGATCTGGTGACTGTGGGGGCCATTTTAGTACAGTGAACTCATTGTCATGTTCAAGAAACCAATTTGAAAAGATTCAAGCTTTGTGCCATGGTGCATTATCCTGCTGGAAGTAGCCATCAGAGGATGGGTACATGGTGGCCATAAAGGGATGGACATGGTCAGAAACATTGCTCAGGTAGGCCGTGGCATTTAAACGATGCCTAATTGGCACTAAGGGGCCTAAAGTGTGCCAAGAAAACATCCCCCACACCATTACACCACCACCCCCAGCCTGCACAGTGGTAACAAGGCATGATGGATCCATGTTCTCATTCTGTTTACACCAAATTCTGACTCTACCATCTGAATGTCTCAACAGAAATCGAGACTCATCAGACCAGGCAACATTTTTCCAGTCTTCAACTGTCCAATTTTGGTGAGCTCTTGCAAATTGTAGCCTCTTTTTCCTATTTGTAGTGGAGATGAGTGGTACCCGGTGGGGTCTTCAGCTGTTGTAGCCCATCCGCCTCAAGGTTGTGCGTGTTGTGGCTTCACAAATGCTTTGCTGCATACCTGGGTTGTAACGAGTGGTTATTTCAGTCAAAGTTGCTCTTCTATCAGCTTGAATCAGTCGGCCCATTCTCCTCTGACCTCTAGCATCAACAAGGCTTTTTCGCCCACAGGACTGCCGCATACTGGATGTTTTTCCCTTTTCACACCATTCTTTGTAAACCCTAGAAATGGTTGTGCGTAGGGGTGTGCCGGTTTCAGGATTGGTGATGACGGTTATGACGTGAGTCAAATGTGACGGTTCGTAACATAACCGTCGTCGTCCGGGGGTGGGGGGTTATAGGACGTTCGGTTGAATAACTGTTCGTCTGTTATAGGACAACTCGCTCTTAAAATGAACAGCAAGACAACTAGAAGTGAATGTACTTTCCATTAAATGAATCACACACAGTAAACAAAACCTTAACAAATGAACTTTGCAATTTAGACGCGCAAACTGCGTGCCGGTGCGGTGAGACATACATGCTCGGGCAGATTCGGCTTGAAGTCGGTCATCCTCGGACGCGGCGCCGCGCGCGCTGTTACAAAAAAAGCTGTGAACACAGCCAAGCGAAATGAAGTCTTGCCGGTCTTGCGCACCCAGCGCGTCATTTTTTTGCCGTGCGGACGCGTCGAGTATAAACAAGGCTTAACCGTGTCAGCGCGCGCTCTGATCGGTAAAGGGGGACAGATCTCTCCCGAATCATCTCCAGCACTCAGCCTCCGACGCACCACTAACTCCACCTCCGTTTCCCTCGTAAGCTGATTTTAGTATTTAAACATTCTCTATGATAAAAAATGTTTGTAAAAAATATTTTAATAGAACGGTTTTGGCGGTTATAGAGTTCTAATGACGGTGTTCAACTATAACCGTCGGTCTCACGGTTATATAATAACCGTCACACCCCTAGTTGTGCGTGAAAATCCCAGTAACTGAGCAGATTGTGAAATACTCAGACCGGCCCGTCTGGCACCAACAACCATGCCACGCTCAAAATTGCTTAAATCACCTTTCTTTCCCATTCTGAGATTCAGTTTGGAGTTTAGGAGATTGTCTTGACCAGGACCACACCCCTAAATGCATTGAAGCAACTGCCATGTGATTGGTTGATTAGATAATTGCATTAATGAGAAATTGAACAGGTGTTCCTAATAATCCTTTAGGTGAGTGTATATTTGAGTAAATTTTGTGTCTCATTTGCTATATCATTAAAATGTAAATGTATATACACGTGACGTGTATATATACAAAGTTTAACACAAACTACTTACCAGAAACAATTATTTGGACATGAAATACTGATTTGGATTGTTTTATTATGGGAGAACAAAAAGAGCTGGAGTGAGACGACAGAGATGAATGTAGCACAGCTACATATGACATAGGGTGCGTGGGAAAACGGTAAATTATCCATCTTTTTTTAATTTGAGAGCGAGAGCGGCCATTTTTAAATTGAATGTGTCCGGCTTCCAGTGTCATTCGCTGCCAGTTATTTTAAGCTCTACAAAACCGCTTGTTATGCTGCTTGATTTTGCAAATTGGTATTTCTTACCATATTATTTTAATGTATTGTTGTCATTAAAAACACACTGGTCTGTAGCACAATTTTTTTTTTTTTCATTAACTGCACTTTGCTATTCTTAGATATAGCGGCTAATGAATTGGAAGTCTAGCACATTCACAGAAAATAGCTTACGTCCGCATTGCAACATAAAGTGTGTACAGTTCAGCATCCTTATGCAAAAATATTATAGATAGATAGATAGATAGATAGATAGATAGATAGATAGATAGATAGATAGATAGATAGATAGATAGATAGATAGATAGATAGATAGATAGATAAATTATTTCTCCAGTAAGATTGTGCTGTGAATGTTTTCAGCCTTCAGTGAGCATTGTACTTTTTGTTCTCTGCTACATCTCTATGTTCACTAACGGCTGGTGAACATCTGTTTTTTGACATATTCGTCTGGGAGAGTATCTTCATAATAATTTGTGGAAAACAAAACAAAAAAAAAACTCTTCTTTAACAAAACTAAACTCTGCAGACCCATAATGTGTTAAAAGTCATAAAGTTTAATGAATATTTTGTCTTTTTTGAGAGTTAAAGTGGAGTGGAAAATGTTAGGATCCATTGTAATATCATTTGCAGCAACAACATTCTCTTAATATTATGCCCACGTTTGCATAACAGAACAATTTTCCAACTAATTAACTGCTGTGTAGATCTCATCTCTGTGGAAGACAATTCCCAACAGACTTCATTAATACAGCAACAAACACACTGAGTAATCAACAACACATTTCCCTTAAAAGCGTTCTTCTGCACATCTCGCTAATGCAAAACATTTAATCACTGGCTTTTAACAGCTAATGCCAGATGCTTTATATATTTATATGTTCTACCCATAAATGGTTGTGTGGAGAAAGGAAAATTAGTGCCATTTTTTGACCTGCAATGTGTCCCAGCAACTACAGCAGGGAAAATGTGCTCGTTTAATGCATAAATAAATGTATTAGAGCCAGATTAATTGTTTTGTTAATCAATTAACAAATTGTGTGTGTTGCAGACAGACACAATGCTCTTTATGCTCAAGTATAAAAACATTGCACATGCAGATACACGTGTGCTCTAAGTTACCATAGTATTTGACTGAACATTAAGTTTCTTACCCTCTTGGCTGCCTGTATTGATCCAATCTGGATTTGCAATACTTGCAATAGCAAAGATATCTGCTGCGAGAAAGAGACATCCTGAAATAATGGTGAGTTTATCCATTTTCATACTTCAGATTGTGAACTTCATGAGTTGAGGTCTGTTAAATGTTTGGGATTGTATGAGACAACTTTCACTCCCTCTTTCCAGTGGGAACCTCATGGAGATGATCTCAGTTCATCACAGTAAGATAGCATCTGATTGTCAGTTGAGGGATTATGATGCAAACAGCAGTATGACATTCAACACACAGCACATCATCCCATTATGAAGTATTACTCCTCACGTAACGTTACTCCAGAGCGGACCATTAACAACATCTAATACTTGAGCATCGCTGTGAGGAAAATCAGAAGTATTCCGATGTTACGTCCGTGCTGGATCTTCCCTCTTGATTTATGGATATCATTGGAAAAGATTCCACAGCGCACGAGTCTGTTCACGCGTCACTATCAAATATGTCGTGCTTTACCGATAACTGCAATTGTCCTTCTTGTCTTATATTCTACCGCGTTTCGGTTTAAACTAATATACCGTGAAACAGCGTCCGCGAAGCTTTCAAAACAAAACCCTGCTCGCGAGATGTTTTCCCTTTGTAAGGAATAACGGAGGGGGCAGGAGAACATGACGCAACACATGACGTCACCAGTCTGATTTTGACAGTTGTTGTGCTCTCATTAGAAATGCCAATGAACAAAATAGAAGTTTTACCTTATATTTGCTTGAATGTATATCTCTGCATAATTACATGCAACTTACCTGACCTAAACTAAACACTAACCCTAGAGTAGGCTAAATACACGTTATTAATATGACTCAGTAGGCCTACTTGTATGTAAAATTACACTAATAACACTGTATATGGGTCATTCCATGTTAATGACCAGCACAAAAAAAAAAAAAAGATTTTAGGTAAACATCTAAATTGAAGACATTTTTTTACAAAAAAAAATAAAGAGACCACATACACACATGTCTATTATCAAATAGTTATGAGGGACACGTGACCAGTAGATGTTGTTTTGTGTAAAATTCTTTTTAAACCAATTCCATTTTGTCTGTTAACAGGGTTGAGAATAAAAGGTGTTTAAATCTGGAAGAAAAAAAAACTTAAAATAATAAAAGGTCTTTAATGCCTATAGGGTGGGAAAATATGATTTGTTGGATGTTTAATATCATGTGACTTGATATAGACTCTTGCTCTGTTCAGGGAGCCATTATTCCATTTTTGTTCATCAAATGTCTGTGAAATGCGTCTCGGTTAAAAAAAAGCAGTCGAAAGTGAGAGGATGTATCTTATACACATTTAAAATAGAAATATTTTGTAACAATATACACTACTATTCAAAGTTTTTTAAAGAAATGAATACTTTTATTCAGCAAGGATGTGTTAAATTGATAAAATTGATAGTAAAGATTTATATTGTTCTAATAGATTTCTATTTAGAATAAATGCTGTTCTTTTCAACTTTTTATTCATCAATGAATCCTGAAAAAAGTATCAGGTTACAAAAAATATTAAGCAGCACAACTGTTTCCAACATTGATAATAAATCAGCATAAGAAGGACTTCTGAAGGATCATGTGACACTGAAGACTGGAGTAATGGCTGATGAAAATTCAGCTTTATATCACATAAATAAATTCTATTTTAAACCATATTAAAATAGAAAACCATAATTTTAAATTGTAATAATATTTCACAATATTACTTTTTTTCCGGTATCTTTGATCAAATAAATGAGCTTGATGAGCATAAGACATTTTTTTTAAAACAGTAATGTTTCCAAAATTTTGAAAGGTACGGTGTGTATATATATATATATGCATGCATGCAAAGATGCTTTGGACGGACCTAAAATGTTATAAGGAGAAAACAATAACTACTATACTGGAAATTTAATTACAACTGGGTGGAAATAATATCTATTTTAATGGCTGATGAAATTAAGAGGTTTTTTTCTATCCATTTTAATGTGTGTAAACTAATGTCTGTATAATTGTAAAATATACAACTATTTTATTATTGGATTTTGACCAGTGAATCACAATATTTCTGTCACGACCACTATCGTCAAATACGATTGACAATTAGCATACAGTTTCGATTGGCGGTATGGTTCTGTTCTGGGCGATAACTCCCTGCGCATCCATGCAGCCTAGCATAGATAAGAGCAGCAATAACCCCCCTTAGGGTAAACAGAACAGAACCAACATGAATGTATTGCAGATGTCATTAATGTAATGTACAATATTTTAATGTACAACATAATTCGAGAATTTATTCTGATTCGAGGATTCGGGGAATCAGAATGCCAAATCCTGACTGGGCGAGAGGAGCTGGGGATGGAGGAGGGTAATTCGCTCCTGAGAAACGCATTAGATGTTGATAATACTGAAGGAGCTTATGTATGAGATAGACATTGTATTGCTATAGGTAGACGTGGATCAGCTGAGAGTCAGCTGATGCGAGCTTGACTTGCTACGTTTGATATTCAGTCATTCATGAGTATTGAGTAATGTATATGATTTTTAAAATAATTTTACAGAGACTGCACTTACAATTGATCAAAATCTAAAAAAACACTGACATTTCCAAGGTTTCATGTTGGTTTGAACCCAGTTTATTGCAAAAACAACCCAGTAATACTCCACTTGTCAATTACCATTATTCTTTTATATTCAGATCTCAAGGTTTAAGTGGAGTAGAGGATCAAAATCACAACTTGTTTCATAAATATTTGTTGGTGTCGGCATATACTTTATTAATTTACTTCTATACATTTCAAATGGACAAGTGCTGAGTTCTTCCTTATAAGTATCAAGACCAACTGTTGATAACCTTTTGGTTTTTTTTACAGGAACAATAAAGATATCATGGACATGTTCTCATTTAATTTTAGTGAAATGAAGAGTTAGACACTGTTGAAAGATAAAATGTACGAGAATACTGATTGCCCATCAGACTTCATCAACAAAAGGTGTGTTGACCAAGTTTCCACTGGAGGCCATAGTCTTTTTGCCAGACATGAATTTCTTTGCCACCTGAAAAACAAACGAGACCAATTTTGTTATGCAAAATTACAATCCAAATGATAAAAGCCTAATGAAAAAAAAAAAAACCTGAGGAAAGCCTTAAATACACTACCATTAGCATTAGCAATATACACTTACCCACTTATTTATTATTACTATTTTTCAGAATACATTTTTTAAATTTTAAAAGTGTCCATGCAGTGAATGTTGGCAGTCCACTAGGTGGCAATATGCACAGTTGTGATGTACTTTCTGTGCAATAGTCAAAGAAGAGTGTGGAAAGAGAGATACAAAGCAGTAAACAAAGCTGCCTATCCTTCTCCTTCGTTTTTGTTTTGGTTCTTGTAAAGTTTGTATGCAATGACAGATCTGCTACTTTTCTTCTATCCTTGAGCGAGCCCTGTAAATGACACAAAGCTGCGCATGTGTCAAATATCTGCGGTTGAGTATACTTTAAAAGCTGTGTGGACACGACGAGAGACACGGCGGAACACGGAAAACTAAGTATACCAGGGCCTTTATAGTAAAGTCAATTATAAATAAAACCAATGGAGATATTGGAATTATGTAGTGACCAAAAAAAATTTAAACATTATGTACAGTACACTAGCACACTAATAGGTGGTTTCCCAGGGGCAACCTGGAGTAAAGTGGTAAAAGGTTGTCTTTACCCTGGATTGAAATATGATATTCTTGTGTTCCCATCCTAGAGCCTTTGCACTGGGATACCGTCACCCTAAGAGACAACAGTTGCTTACATTGACAACGTCAGCCGAAGACACAGCATCAATTTTCTGGGTCACAGCCTCAGGGGAATGGTAGGAACCCTCTGCCAGCGCCTGTGATCCAATAGCTTCCATTAAGCCCTCCGAACTCTCAATAGACATCAGGTACTCGGCCGTCAACTGATTCCTGCTCAGACGAAATACATTAATAAATCACAGGAAAACAAACAAATATGTAATGTGTACAATATAAAAGGTATTGCACTCTAATTCTCAAGCTATCAAGATGATGAAAACTTACTTAGCTCTAATGAGGTCAGCCGCTGCAAGGTTTCCTTGTGCAATGTCATAAACTTGACCGACCGCTGCGTTAATAACCTGAACAGAAGAAAAAGCCCACTTTAAATAGAAAACTCTTACTCTCATGGGTAACACCACTAGCTTTTGTTGTTAAATCTAGCCTAATTTGTTATTACAAACAAAATGTTGAGAAAAATGGATAGAATGTGTTAAAGACCCACTCCGATGAAAATAATGTTTTTCTAGGTGTTAACATGTTCTTGTGGCATTTTTCTGATGTTAGAGGACATATCTTGAAAAAAATAAGCTCAAAGTTGTATTTCTGAGTATTTCTACATTCAAATGGCTGTGAATCAGTAGCAGATGCTAAAATGCCGGCTAAAATAGACTGGAGTTGTGACGTAGTAACTCCACTGGGCGTCTCCACACGCGACGTCTTGGAGTGAAATAATGATCGGTGATAACTTCGATTAACTTCGGATAATAATAATTAACGTGTATATAATACTGTTGCCCCACCGGTATTGGGGATGTAAGCTAGCGGGAGAGACAAGCTCTCGGCAACGGGCAGGGGGAGGGTCGTCTCCGTGCCAACGGCTCCGCCCACAACGCAGAGGCGAATTGCTAATGAGCTACTGCCGCTCTGCTGAAGCGAAGTCCCAGAAAACGGCACAGGTTTTGTGATTTTGGCTAAAAATGGCATAATCATAATTTAAAGACCACTGGGAATGTTTAAAAATAGCTCAAAATATGATCGGAGTGGGACTTTAATGAAATCTACCAGATGGAAAGACTAACATTTTCACTCCGTTTGCAAATTAATAGATTTGTAGTCTTATGGTCAAAATGGGTGTCCTATGTTAATCATACACAAAATGCAGGAATGTTGTCCTGAAGGTTGTCAAGATAGTGGTAATCAAGGGTTGATTTTATTGTACTATATTTTATGTACTATTTATTAACAAAATAATTGTGTTGTTGTCTTTTGTTTCTATATATATTATAGACTTGCCTTATAGTAATGCACCCCTTGTTTTGTTTTGTGTTCTAATGTGTTTCTTATTATATTTACAAAAATGGGAATGTTGGGAATGGAGATCTTTGGTCTAGATCACAGACTGGAACTGTGACCATGAGGTAATGTAAATATGGCTATTGTATTGTTCCCAATGTTTCAAAAATAAAGAATAAAAAAATAAAAAAGATTGTGGCATGTACATTAAAATCACTGAGATAGATAGATAGATAGATAGATAGATAGATAGATAGATAGATAGATAGATAGATAGATAGATAGATAGATAGATAGATAGATAGATAGATAGATAGATAGATAGATAGATAGATAGAATAAATTCATGTTAAAACCGGAGCGTAATGTAAATCACACGTACGTCTTTGGCAGCGTTCGCCTGGCAGATGGTGTACACTCCAAACAGACCAGAGTCAGTGTAGTTGGCATTGAAGGCAGAGGCCTGCAACAAAGCCAGACAGACACAGTTACAGAGTCCTTCATAAAAGCCTTTTTTGAGCTAAAGGTCTCAAAGTGATACTCACATCAAAGGGCTGAGCTGT